CCCAAGGAGCCGGACCCAGGAACAGCCCCAAGCTTTCCAACATCATCCCGGAGCCAGTCTGAAAAAAGCTCCAAGAGGGAAAAGAAACGCAAGGCCGACAACAGAAGGCTCCGGGCGCGCAAGTCCTCAGCAACCAGCATAGCCAAAAGGGATGGAACCTGCACATGGAGCTGAACGACACCAATATCACGAGGAAGGGCAGGGGCAAATAAGCACTCATTGAGGTGTTCAAGGCCGCCCCCCCCCCCCAGGAAACCTGAACCACCGTCGACGCCTCACAGAGTGTGGGAACGACAGAAGGAGTGCCAAGCCTCCAGGGCAAAAACAGGACAGTCTGCCAGCCAGAAAGACTGTGGAATGTCATAACGGACTCAGAAAGGGAACGAAGTCCCAAACTTGAAAGGCGAAGGATACATCACGGAGGCATAATCCGGGTCACGCAGGAAGTTCGCCGCAAGGGCCGTCCGCACCGCAGAAGGCTGGATGCTGAAAACCTCCAGACGGATGGAACCGAGGCACCCGGAGGAACACAGAACCGAACCCGAGGAGGAGCTGATATCAAATCCAACTCATACGCAGAGGGAGGGGGGGGGGGGAGAAAACCCACTCCTTGTAACAATAAGCTCGCTCAGAGGGTAGAAAAACCCAGGCGGGGTCCAGCTGGGCCCAAGGTCCCTAAATAAGCTCCTTCCCAGCCCAAAGATCCTCCTCCGCAGGACCCGGGGCCGAGTCATCCCCCAAAGCACCGACCTCAAAAGACAAGGCCGGCACAGCTGCTAAAGCCGAACGGAAGGAGTCCCACAGGTCAGACCCTGAGGCTTCGGCTGGGGGGCTAGACTCGAATGCCTCCGTCACCACACCGGAAGGGGCATCTCCCGAGACTGCCTGAATCTCAAGACCATCTAAACCCTGCCCCGACTCAGAAACCCTCAGATGTTTCGGAGCCGGATGCAAGGGAGGGGGACCAGAAAGAACCACAGGAGAGGAAGGACGAGGGGACGCGGACTGAACCAAGGTCGAGGTGACCCCCACCCCCAAGTCCGAGTCCCTAAAAGCAAAACGAGGCAGCCTTGGGGCATCCGGGTGAGCAACCAACCTAGGGCATTGCAAGAGCCTAAGCTGCATCTGCAACGCCTGCACTGCCTGTACCCACAAAGACTCATCATGGGATTGTGTAAACTGAGTCACGAATAAGCAACAGCACTCACAGTTGAATTTCAAGAACAAGAGGTCATAGATTTAAACTAGCTAAACACAGATGCCGAAGAAATATAAGAAAATTCACCTTCGCAAATAGAGTGGTAGACGGTTGGAACAAGTTAAGTGAGAAGGTGGTGGAGGCCAAGACCGTCAGTAGTTTCAAAGCGTTATATGACAAAGAGTGCTGGGAAGACGGGACACCACGAGCGTAGCTCTCATCCTGTAACTACACTTAGGTAATTACACTTAGGTAATTACAGGACTCAGGGTCGAAAGTAGCACCGACCCAACAGGCAGCGTGACGAAGGCAAAAACAGTGAGAGTCACCTTGAGACAAAGGGACCGAGCAACCCTCAAACTTAAATGAAGCCAGGCACGCACGTCAGATGTTTGAGCGGCTGTGTGGGAGCCTGAATTTCGCCGTGCTGGTCTACCTATCGGGTCGAATCCGGCTTTGCCGGATGTTCTAGTTTCTTCAGGGTCGTCCCTTCTGCTGCTCTCACGATCGATAGGTTCGGATCCCGGGAGCCTTGCTTCGGCTGCTGCGTCGCTGGCTTCCTCTGCGGGTTTTTCAGGGTTCTGTGCAGTGGCACCTCCCCGAGCCTTCACTCGATGTGTTCATGGATGACTCGTCTCTCGGCTTGGGTTTTATAACAAGTGGTCATCAGGCCGGCCTGGGTCAGTGGGGTCCGTCTTTTTGTCGAGCTCACAGCATAGTGAGGGAACAAATCCACAAGGACCGTGACGAGGATTCGAACCTGCATCCAGGAGCATCCCAGACACTGCCTTAATTGACTGAGCTACAACATGGTAGCTCAAATTCGAATCCTCATCACGGCACTTGTGGATTTGTTCATTTGATGCATCACGTTATTGTGATTTCTGTGTGTAATGGTGAGGGAGTTTGCAGCAGTGTGGCATTCACTTCAGAGGATTTGGGTCGCTCCAGGAGCAACGATCCGGCTCCTTTCAGACTGCTCCCCGGTGGTTCATTGACTAAACTGCAGGGGTTTGATGCAGTCCTTGGTTCTTTGGGGCTGGTCGCTTTGGGTGACTCGTCTGCTGAGTTTTTGGAGTTTGGCTCTCCTGGCGGTTCATGTTCAGGGGGTGTCAAACGTCCTGGTGGACGGCCTGTCTCGGTTCATTCCTCTTTCCACAGAATGGACGGTCGACGCCGACACGTTCAGTTGGCTCTGCCGGACATACAGGCGCCCAGAGGTGGACCTATTCGCATCGGCGTGGTCGAGGAGTCTTCCTTGTGTTTGAGGCGCCCTTCCCAAACTGCGAGGCCGTCGGGGTCGATGCCTTTCGGCTGGACTGGTTGAGGCAGAGTTACCTGTACCTCTTCCCTCTGGTCCGGTTGTTGCTCCGGATCCTGGCTCGGTTGGAGACTTGCCAAGGGAGAGTAGTCCTGTTGGCTCCTTGGTGGCCGGGCCAGCCTTGGTTTTAGGCGCTTCCAGCTCTATGTCCGAACCCAAGAGTCTTCCTGCGGCTCCGCCTCTTTCAGCAGATTGGTCCGGTCCGGTCCGTTCCATGGCTGGTTCGATCTTCACCTCCACTCTTTGCGTGTTGTCTCTTTGACGCGCGTCTGCCACCACTTGTATTGTGATCAGGTGGCTTAGTTTATGGTGTACCACCTGTGAGTTTCGTCTAAACGGCAGTATGAAATTTCCTGGCAGTCCTTTCGGCATTTTTTTGTCTCATAGTAGGTTGTCTTCGATTCTGATCGGGTTTTGTCCTTTCTCTCTTAGTTGTTTCAGGATCGTCATTTTGTGCCAAATACTGTCGCCTCATTTCGTGCGGTGCTGGCGGAGTCGCGGCAGCTTGTTTTTGGAGTGGATGTCTCTTCTGCTCTGTTCTGCAAGCGTTCGCAGACGTTGTTTCACCTCTGGCCTGCTTATTTGCCGCCTGAGCCGTCCTGGTTGTTGGACCAGGTGCTCTCTTTTGTCTCTTCTCGGTTTGTGGTGGCCCCCTAGGTTCAAGACTGTTTCTCTTAGGTTCTTTTCTTGAGGGCATTGGCCTCTGGAGGTCGGGTCGGGGAGCTTCATGCTCTCCTCTGGCACAGGGGTTTCTTCTCTTTCGGTCCTGGTGTTCGTTTCGTTTGTTTGCAACCTTCTCCTTCTTTTATGGTGAACAATCAGTCTGCTGCTTTCCAAAGTGGTCCTTGGGTTGTTGATGCTTGGTTGGTTCATCTGGGGGTGCATAATGTTTTGTGTCCAATTGCAACTCTTCACTGGTATCTGCGCGCCACGGCCTCCGTGGCAGGAGACATGCTTTGGGTGGACCTGTTTTCCCTTCTTCCCTGTTCCAAGGTGCGTTTCTCCCAGGTCGTCCGCAGGATTATTCGGTTCAGCCAGCCTGCGGTCTATCCCAGTGCCCACGATGTTCGTAAGTTCGCGGCTTTGGCTGCTGTTTTTGGTAATATGTCCTGGGGTGACATTCGGGCACAGGGCTTATGGAGGTCGAACAGGTTCCTGGCTGTATGGTATCTCGTATATATTCCTGGGCCTTCTTGGGCGTGTGTAGCCTTTTGTCTCGACTTCGAGTTGAGGAGCGAATGACGACTGCCTCCCAGTTAAGTCCCTCTTTTTCTTTGTCTTTGGTTAGGTAGCTGCGGTGAGCCGAAGGGGCTCTCCACAGAAAACCAGCGTTGAATGTAATGAATACCGTTTTCTGGGTGAGACCTGGAGGCTCCCCAGCATCCCTCTCTCCCTCCGGTCGGCGGTTTTTCGCATTTTTTGATACTTAGCCTCTGAATTGAGGAGAGTTGCCGGCGTGGAGGTCTGGGACCCCCCCCCATCCCCCTCCCGGGGTGGGGGGGGTTGCGAAGACGGATGCGCAGCATTTGTGGTGACGTCATACTTGTTTCCTTGGTTTTGATTGGGGAGTTCTGTTGCTAGTTCAGCTTTCGTTTTGCAATTTATTTGACCAGCAGTAGTTTGTTTTGGAATTCCTGCCTTTCTGCATGCCTGACCTGGTAGATGGCAGACGAAGACTGCTTCCAGTTACACAGGGTGTCTATAGGCCATTGCTCCTCGTGCCTCTCTTGAGGGGGCCAGGTTCTGGCTCTGGTCCCCGGTAGGCCCAAAACTCCTTCGATTGACTGTTGCCACGGTCTAATATATACACATCAGCCCAGTATAGCTCCGGGGAGCCTCCGGGTCTCACCCAGAAAATGGCATTTCATTACATTCAACGCTGGTTTTTTAGTAGGGTAATAATATATAAGCACAGTATATAATATGATAATGCATTTTTATTGTGTACAAGAAAAAAAGACACTGATGCAAACGCCTCCTGAAAGTCACCTCTTGCAACGCTCCAACGCACTGGGGTTGGTCCCATAGTGTACGTTGAATCGAGGTTGTACTGTATTTTTAAAAAGTGCATTTTCTATAACCATTTGGCTCTTATTTCAAAGCTATGACTGTCCACTATCTTCTCTTCCAAAAGCAGAAAACACTATCTAGTGAAACAAACTAGAGATTTTTAGCATACTCTACCTGCTATCTTAATACAGTACTACTTAAAATAATTCCTTTTATCATATTCCTTACTTACTGAAAAATGCTGATGAATGAAGCAGAGTTGATGTGGATTGAATTTCTACCATGGAATAATTCAGCACTGAAGAACAGCAGTGTTGGTGGTTGATTATTTTCAAAGAAAACAGTAAAGTGGCATACTTAAACATAAGGTTCACACCCTATTCTGAGAATATTTGCTCTGTATTAGTACTGATTCAAATGACTAATGGAATAGCATATTATGAATAGCCTGTGAAACAAGAGTATACTTACTTATAATAAGCAATGCGTCTCTGTGAGTCATAGCAGCTGTATATGCTCTGTATAGAGGCCCACATCCTTGTCCCTCGGGTTCCTCCTTAAAAAGACAGTTTTATGAGGTTACTTCACATTCACTTCATCTGCCTATACTTGCAAAAACATGTACTCTAGATGAAAACCACAAAGTCTCACTGAAAAATCCACCGCTGATTATAATGAAAGGCCACTTCCTGGTGGGTACTATCAGTGGCTGCTCGAGCTACCTGACTAACTCCATGTCTCAACATCCAACCAGACCCATGGAGTTGCATGCACCTACTGGGGACCATGATCAGACGCTGGCTCCCTTAATAAACACAAGGAAGTTTGGGCGAATACTGTATCAACCCAGGCCAAATGGAAAAAAATGCAGAAAGGTAGAGTATCTCAAAACAAGTCTGACAAGAGGTTACAAGTTTCTGGGGATGCCATCTGATGATGGCTTAGGTTAATATTGTATCTCCAGACTCCCTTACCTCTACTGAAGGGGCCACATTTTGGTCCTGGAACAAAGTAAGCACTCATGATGCAAAGAGCCTAGTGGGGTGCTTTAGACATGGAGCTAACCAAGAAGGCAGTTCAGGGAGTCACTGAAGGGAGGCCACCCAGAAAAACCCATAGTTGAATTTAATGAAACATTCTTTCTGGAGGAGCCCTGGTGGTTCCTTGAAGCTATCTTGCCGAGATTGCGTCATACTAAAAGGATACATTAGTCACAGAAGTTTTGTTTGGCCTACTGGGAACCAGAGCCAGGAAATGGCCCCCCCAACCTTACACACAAAGGCACAGGAAAAAACCAGCTTTGAATGTAATGAAATGCCCTTTTCTGGGCGAGCCCCGGAGGCTCCCTGGAGCTTATTGGGCTTATGTACGTTATATTAGACCGGGGCATTAGCTATGGAGTTCAGACTTACCAGGGACCAGCACCAGAACCTGGTCCCTTCAGAGAGGTTTCAGGGAGCAATGGCCCTGGAAAACCCTCTTGTGATTGCAGTTTTTCCTTATCTGCCATCAACCGGGATTAGGCACCCAGAAAGGTAGGCATAACAAAACAAACCCCACATAGTAAGAAACTAACAACAAAAACTGAACAGAGAGATAGAACTCCCTACAATCCCAAGGAAACAAGCAAACATAACACACTACCAACATGCCGCTCGTCCGCGCAGCCCTACCCTCTCCGAGTGGGGGAGGGGAGGGCCCTGGACCTCACTGTGCCGGCTGCAAAGCGCTCCAGTTCAGAAACTAAGCTTCAACAAACGCGAAAACACCGTCGACCGGTGGGAAGGAGGGTCACCAGGGAGCATCCGGGGCTCACCCAGAAAATGGCGTTTCATTACATCCAATGCTGGTTTTCCGAGGGGAGCCCCTACGACTCCTTAGAGCTTCATACTCAAAGAGAAGGAAAAAAAAAGGGGCTGACCCGGGAGGCTGTCACCACAAACTCCGCAACGCAAAGTTGAGACAAAAGGCTGTAACCTGCGGCCCAAAGCAACCCAAGAACACCCAGGAGCAGACATGCACCCAAAATAACGGGCGGCCAGGAACCTGTATAACCTCCAAATCCCCATGCCCGAAAAGAGCCCTAGACATGTTACCAAACACGGCAGCGAAAGCTGCAAACGTCTGAATCGCACGGGCGTGAAGATAGACCGCAGGCTGGCTAGATTTAATAACCCTGCGGTCGACCTGGAAGACCCGAGCCCTGGAACAGGGAATGAAAGAAACCAGATCAACCCAAAGTGCATCCCCAGCCACAGCACACAGGTAAGCAAAGCGCCGCAAATGGACACCACACATGACGCACCCCCCGGCTGAACCAACCAAGCATAAAAAACCCAAGGACCCTTCCGGAAAACAGCCGTCTCTGCCTTTGCCAGAAGGCAGAGACGGCTGACGGCTGCCCAGGGTTTTCAAATCCTCGTCACGGCCCTTGTGGAATTGTTCATTTGATGCATCACACAACTGTGATTTCTGTGTGTAATGAAGTAAGGGCGAAGAGGGATAATGGCCTATTGACATAGCTTGAGTGCATGGGGGGAGTTATGTAAAACCCTTGTTTGTGCCTTGGAGAGGCTGCAGGATCCAGTAAGTTCAGTAGAACTTCAGTTTCAACTCCTTTTGACCTTGTCGTAGCTCAGTCGATTAAGGCAGCATCTGGGATGCTCTCGGACGCAAGTACGAATCCTCATCACGACCCTTGTGGATTTGTTCAGGAAGATAAAACCCCTGAAATGAGGTGAAAAACTCACCCATGCACGCTCGCTCGCACACCCAGGCACCGGTAAACAGACCGCAGTGCTGCCGGTGGCCAAGCAGGGAATTATCTGCAGAAAAGAAAATGGCCACCAACCAAGGAGACGTGACTGACGCAATAGAGCCGAAAATACGCCAGCAAATGTTGGAAGTAAGCAGACTTGAGGGACAAAAAACTGCGCCCAGAAGCAGATGACCCAGGCAGGGGGCAAACAGCCCCAGAACTGCAAGCGGGCATCCCCCACAGTCCCAGGAACCCGCAAAAGAGGCCCCGGAGTAGAGCAGTCCTCCATGCTCTCTGCCCTTAAAGAAAAAGAAGAGTCCAGGGGAATGGCAGCAAAAAAGGGCCAGTGGTAAGACCCAGAAGCCTTGGCAGGAGGAACAGGCTCGAAAACATCAATCCACAACCTGAACGGGGCAGCCCCCGAAGCCGCCCGAGTCTCGGCACCAACTAGACCCCATCCCGACCCCGAAACCCGCAGACGGTCAGGTGCCGGGAACAGGGAGGGAAAGGGGTGAACAGCACCTAACCAAAACGAGCCGGCTCAGGGGGCATCCGGGTAGTTGCTGCAACCTAAGCCGAGCTTGCAACACGGATGCCGCCTGTACTCTGAACAGTAAGGACATCAGAAGAGTACTAGAGAACAATCAGAGAACACAACTCGCAAGAATTCGGGTCAAGTGTCAGTGACCCAACAGGTAGCATGACGGAGGTAAAACTGGCGACTGTCACCTGAGACAATGGCACAGCAACCAAGGAACCCGCACAAGATGGGATGGAACCCGGAAGACACATCCAATGGTCCACCGAGCCTCGACAGAGTTTTCCAGGGCCAGTAGATTGACTGCTACGGGAAGCCTGGGCAAGGTGTTGCTAACCGGTTAACACCCACGCTAACAAGGTGGGATGCAACACTGAAAACACCTGCATGTGTACAATCACGGGGGTCTAGCAGAGGGCTACCAAACACTACTAGTGGAACTATAGCCACACTAGGCAGACCCTACCAGGCAAATTAACACTTTGGTCCAGTAATGACGCAGCATTGCGTGACTTTTTTACATGGGGGAAGTATGGTAATGACGCAGCATTGCGTGATTTCCGGCGGCAAATTGGCGACGGTTTCGGGAGGGGCGCGCCGCGGTTTTGGACAGTACAGTACAACCTCGATTCAACGTACCCCGATTCAACGAATCTCCGGCTAGTTCGCACACTTTTCAGGCTGGATTTACTCACCCGGTTTGACGAACAATGGTTCACCGAAGCGGGGGATGTTCGGATTTGCGTACGACGTCGAGACAAGAGTTCACAGACTGGTGGAAAACTTTCACATTCTATCACAGATTACAATTATTAATTCCTTCATATGACAAGTTTGATCACACAAGTGGACCACACAAGTGGACCGCACATGTGGTCCACAAGTGGTCCACAAGCTTACGATGTTGGGACAGAGTTCACAGAGTGGTGGAAAACTGTTTCATTCTATCGCAGATTACAATTAATAATTCCTTCATAAGACAAGTTAGATCACACAAGTGGACCACACAACAAGTGAATCATATGAACCAAACACCAGCCAGAATGGTCCACAAGAAGTGACGCATATTAACCAAACACCAGCCAGAGTCGTCCACACAAGTGAACGACTGAGTTTCAATGATTTTCGTTCACCGATTTGTAGCACATGTATCTTTGTAAATTAATTTAAAGGCTGAAGCGTGAATAGCTAGCTAATATGTTGAAATCTTCTTATATACATTTTCTGTGATGAAACAAGACGAGTGAGGGTGGACAGATAAGGGAATACTGTACAGTAAACCTCACTTTACAGTGAGGTTTCACTCACTTTCGTCTGTGTTGTCATAGTTCAGTGACCCATGGTTTTGAACGTTTCACATTAATAAATCATTTCTAAAACTGGTGTTTTAATAACTCTTTATTATCCTAATTAAACTAAACTAAATAAAACCAAAAATATACTGTAATAAGATAGATATCTCCTATTTGAGAAATTATTCACGTTATTGGCAGCACAACTCCAGCACAAGTGGACAGGTCTAATCCCTGTCCATACAACACCATGCTTGTGTTGTGTTCAATTTCGTCGCCACAGTTCAGCGATCTACGGTTTCGAAATAATAAAATTAATAAATCAGTTCCAAAGTAAGTATTTTTTATAGCTCTTATTATCGTAATAATGTTGCTAAACTAAATATGTAACCCATAAATATATAATTTGATGTAAATTGAATATTTGAGAGAAATATATGTTACTGGAAATCGAACACAACACCAAGCAGTGTTTTGTTCGATTTCGTCGCCACAGTTCAGTGACCTACGGCTTCGAAATAATAAAATTAATAAATCAGTTCCAAAATAAGTATTTTTTATAGCTCTTATTATCGTAATAATGTTGCTAAACTAAATATATAACCAAAAAATATATAATTTGATGTAAATCGAATATTTAAGAGAAATTTATGTTACTGGATCAGGCTTAAACACCAGCCTACTGAAGGGTGTACGTATAGACTTAGTCTGTGTTCGTACAGTATGCACCCAGTGCCCTTAGCTTTGTCTGCGATTGACGTACAGTATTTATCCGCCGGTGGAAGAATAATCGTGGAATTTACCATTTTTTTACTACAGCTCTTTGGTTATAAAACAAAATGTCTCAGGGGCTTACTAATAGTGCCTTATTAATGCCAAAAATGAAGCAATATTTTGCAAGAACTAGTAGCAGAAAATCAACCAGCACAAGAACAGCCGTACCCAACACGAGAACAGCTGTACCCAGC